TTTTACATTTTCTTGCTTCGAAAATTTTAAGTAATAATGTCTTACTATTTTATATTTTTGTATTTTAAGAATTTCATTTCTTGTCTTATTACAAACATGTTCTTACAAACATATTCTTAAAGTAAGAAAATCGTATTTTCTTAAGAAAATGCTTTCGCGTTAATTAACTATAAGAAATTATAAGAAAAATTTTCTTATTTTAAGAAAATGTTTTCTTATTAAGAAAAATTTTTCTTATCTTAAGAAAAAGATATCTTGGGATTCAAAAATTTCTTATTTCAAGAAAATTTTTTCTTATTAAGAAATTTATTTTCTTATTTTAAGATTTTTTTCTTAAATTAAGAAATTTTTTTCTTAATAAGAAAATGATTTTTTGCTGTGTATGAGCTATATTATGAATACTGACATTCAGTATATATATATAGTTCATAATATCCAGTATTGATTCCGTCTGACCGTGTAGCTCAGTTGGTAGCGTCAATCTAGTAATTCGAGCGTCGCGGGTTGAAGATATATATAGGTGTATTGATTTTCTTACGATTTTGAGCTGGGCAAGCAGAAACTAATTCTACTTGACCGCTGCTGGGAATCAAACCTGTAACCTTCGCATTTCTAGAACGACGCTCTAGACTTCTGGGGTCCGGTTGTTCAAAAGTCGGTTAACGCTTAAACTAGGGTTAAGTTTGCTTAACCTATATAGGGTTAAATTTTAACCCTAGGTTACTTTGCGTTGTTCAAAGATAGGTTATCTTTAATCGTCGGTTAAAACAAGGGTTAAATTTAACCCTCCTCGCTAGGAGGGTTAACTTGCTAATCGGCGGGTTAACTCGTATTCAAACCATTTCGTCGAAGGAGTGAAAAAAGAAAACTTGTAAACCTATTGGTGAAACAAACAGTGTACAAAGATTTCATGGAGGAAAATCAACCTCAAAAAGTAAATTCTAAGTCTATAAATACTATTAAGATTCTTATTCGTCCCGCATGAGCCTTTGGCTTTGGAGGAATTTTATACGTACAAGTTAATTGGCTTTGAATTTATATACGAGCATTCAAGTGAAAGTTACGCCAACTTTTTGTCCATTTTGGGGTGCTATGGTCTAAGCATGGACATCATAATTTGCTGTTTTATTATGTTACTGTGGAAAAGTACCTTGATTTACAAAACGCCAAAGGAAACACCGGCAGACGCGTAACTACAATCCCGGACAAAACATCTGCGACACTTCCAATTACTTGACAAAATGTCGTAATATTATCGTAAATTTAGTAAACTTCCCCCTTTCCCCCACCATTCAATGTTGATTGCATTCGCAGAATACGGATAAAACGTCCAACATTGTTTTTGGGGGTGGAGGGGGCAAACGAGTAAATTATGCCGGTCTAACCGGTAAAAAAGCCACAAAGCAATGTTTTAATAGAGTGTCGCAGATGGTTTTGTCCAGGATTGTCTGAAATGAGTCGAAATTATATTCTTTTATATTTCGCTTTTTATACATGTCCTTGCCATGTATTTAGTTTATGTGCATTGCGTATGACCTACTTATGTCCATAATTACATCAAGTACCTTATTTCATTAATTAAATACGTCATGAATACCTTAGTGTTTTGAAAGGGTAATAATGTGTGGTAGAAACTTTTTGCCGAGAAAATCGCATACGCTATATAATTTTTTAGCAATTAAAAGCAACGAAATGTTGCGGAAATAATTGAGAAAGTAAAACTATCGCGTTCTAGTAGATATCATTGCAATAATTCAGAAATTAAGAAATATATACGAGTCATATATTTGTTATCTGTATATTTATGTAAGACCTGCAAGACACAATAGACCGCCCTAATCGACCATGTGAGAAGGTGCCTAGACAGACATGGAAGCGATCAGTGCATGAAAATATGAAATACAATGTACGACCCAAAAAATATATTTCCATAAGGGTTTGTGTGACTTATATATTGATAGTTTTTACATTCAGTCTATACATAAACGAATGCGTGTGTCTGTGATAACCAATAGAACTAAGGGACAATAAATTCAACATAGTTACGTTTCTGGTATTTAGGCCTACTGTATATATTTAAAATATTAAGTGACAACTATATAAATGTGAATTATGCATTTTGACACAAGTTTTCCGGGTGTGAATCAGTGCTCAATTTTCCCAGTGTCATACATAACGGTGTACCACCACCAATGCACTAATATTGTGATAATATCCCCAGTTATAGGTGTAATACAAACAAATGAAATAGACTTGAAAGAACGTGTGTTGCTTATTATTCCAACCTACTTCAGACAATATTTAGCGCGATAATGCTAAAATATTCCACGGTGTACCATTTTAACCCTACAAAAGGTTATATATATATATATATATATATATATATATATATATATATATATATATATATATATATATATATATATATATATATATATATATATATATGACCGTGGTACACCGTCAATGCGCATGCGCTATTAATTATACGACAATAACAAAATCGGATTAGTCATTTAGCGCGGCGGTCACGCAATATATTTCCACTATTAAGTACATTGACTTGCTCTCCGACGTATATTAAATGCGTGAAAGTCGTCGCATATGATTTTTAATCGCATTCTATACGAGCTATCGAAGCATAGCGTTGCACGAGGGTGTTACATTACCTTGTCGACCATGTGGTATTTGCTTCTTGAAGCCTAATACATTCTAGTGAACCTTATTTATTACGGAAAGAGAAAGTCCTGCATAAAACTCAATTTTTAATGCGCAATGCCTTGGTTATTGAATTTGAAAGATACAGACTGTAGTTTGGTACACAAATGCCGTAATCAAGATTGTGTACACTGTACACTGTACACTGTACACTGTACAGTAAAAGGATTTACCTCGCGAGATCTTTGTACTTCAGTTCTTTGTCGATTACCGCCACCAAAACTGTTGACCGTAGTTTTATTAATGCCGAGCATTCAACTCAAGCTTCTTCGAAAAATAACACTAGAAAAATACTTGTATTGCCAAACAATTCGCCGTACCACCACCTGTTGAACTAAGTTTCCATTTGCCATTTGTTGAACAGTCACAAGTTCTTGCACATCTACTGTTTGCAGCACAGTGTATGACCTAGTAAAAACACTGTTTTTGAAAGCTGTAAAACAACTTCGCTGCTTCTTTTTCTGTTTTCGACTTTTCGTGTTTAGTTTTATAGGATAAACACGCATGTGTTGAAAAATGCTTTTCAACTCCAAAATAATTCGAAGTTCATTTGATTGGTTGGGATTTTGTTCTCAAATTTAATTATTCAAGCACTGCCTAGAATTCAAAAATTGATTTATTTAAATGGCTTTGCCGCTTTGATCAAGTATATTTTTTTCTTGAAACTTTCAAAATGCTTAAATCCATGTCTCAAATGTTCAATTTCAGTTGCCTGTTACTTGTTAAACAATATTTCTTCCATCTAGCCCATTCTATCCCTAATTTTGGCACTTACTTTCCAGCTAATCAAAAACGTTCTTATATTACATTTATTTTAAAAATAAATTTAACCTTGGTTTAAATGTCCTAACCCTGGGTTAACTAACCGCACCTCTAACCCAGCTTTGAACAACGCAGTTTTAACTCAGGGTTAACTCCAACCCTGGGTTAAGGATTTTAACCTAGGGTTGGCACTAACCCTGGATTAAAGTTCTACTACGTCATCAGCTATGGTCGTGTCAGAGTTGTATGAGAGAGCATACGCATGCGCAAAATAGCCAGTTGTATACGTCTTGTCGTTAGAGAAGCCACGATTTTGGAAGCCTTACGTAAAAATATTTTTCAAATCTTATCCATCAAGAAGAAAATTGCTGATTCGAAGCCTCCAAAAGGATAAATTCAACTTTTGCAGATAAGTTGATATCGCTTTAATTGTTTATTTGTGTGAATTTATGTTCTTTGTTACGTAAATTATGTCTGAAGATAGGCAAGAATCATCGACTGAGCACACTGTCTCCAATCATGATATTGAGGAAAATACTCGCGCAAACAGCGAGCAAAATTTTCTTTCTGTGCTCACAGCTATGCAAGCCAGCATGTCCCAAACAAATGAATATTTAAAATGTATATTTGAGGGACGTCATACCATCGAGAAACGGTCTGGTGTTAGCGACCCGGGTATGTAGATGAAGCCAAAAACGGCGAACAACCCGCTCCAAAGAGAGCAAAATCTGCCCCAAAGTCTGGGCACACTTCTGAGGGCAATGACCCGTCAATTCTAAGCCAGAAAAATGCTGTAGTCGTAGATGATAATGAACAATCTGACCAACCGCATGTGGCAGATGACACGTTGAGCTTGTTCGGAGGGCCAGAATTTCAAGACATTGATGACGAACTTGATAATGACAATCTCCTTGAAAATATTGCTCAAAATTTGTCTTCTCGAGTCTTCAAAACAACAAACTGCCCTCCTATTTCTGCATCTCTGGCCAAAATTATCAATTCAAAACTTGCGGATGAATTTGATGCTCCAAAATTGAAGGAGACCCTTAGCAAGTATAAACGGCCTGAAAACTGTGAGCAGATGTATGTGCCGGAAGTCAACCAGGAAATATGGCACAAAATGAAGCCATTTGCCAAAAAGGCTGATATTAAAATGGCAAACTTACAAGACACCCTTATAAAAGGGTTATCAGGTCTGGCAAATGCCACTAACACATTGTTAGAGTGTAGGGAAAGTAAAACTATCCCTGATTACAGAGCTATTGTTCCACAGTTGATTGATACCACAGCTCTTTTTGGCCATGTTTGTAAAGAGCTTTCGTATAAACGTAAAGATGCCATTCGGCCTATTCTTCACCCTGATTTTAAACCTCTCTGTTCAAGGACTCACAAAGTTGGGCCTTGACTTTTTGGGGAAGATTTAGCTAAGCGAGCTTAGGATATTAAAACATCAAATAAAACTGTATTGAGCTTAACCTCCAATTCAGGGCCAAACAGTTATACGAAACGTTTTCCCGCAAGCCCTTCACAATATATAACATATAATAAATATAAAAATATAGTATATATAAACGGTACCGTCTGTAGTTATATATATATATATATATATATATATATATATATATATATATATATATATAAAA